CACACACACACACACACACACACACACACACACACACATATATAGATAGATATATATATATATATATATGTATATATGTATGTATAATCCTCTGTATCTGTATTTTATGTGTCCTTTGTTGTGTTAGTAAATTACAGATTTTATCCTCTAAAACAGGTGTGGTGTTCAAGATTTTTACTATTTTTCTTGATTAATATAATTTTTTTGACTAAAGAGCAGAAATGATAAAAATTTAAGAACTACTGTAATTAAGGGTGTTTGTTTCCTTTTTGCTTACTTATAGTTTGACTACCTTGTGATTCTGGCCCAAAGTTTCATGGGCCCTCGATAGCCTAAGCTCTGACCCCAACTTCCACATGGATTAAGGGTGCTGGCACATGTCTAAATTTGATTGAAAGAAAACATTTGAATTATCAATATTTTAAAATTATTTTAGAGATCGCAAAAATTTTTCTAGTAATTATTACATTTAAGTTTCACGATTAATACTATAAAATTAAATATTATTATTATAATGATTTTAATATTTAGTAGTTGCAAAATATTTTTAATTTTTTACTATATTTCAATATGACTAGAGAGACTTACTGAATTCATATCACTTATATAATATTTAGTGTTTTAAATGGTATTTAACTAATTATATTGTGTCATGTCACTTAATGTACATAAATTTTAAAGTATAAAAAATTAGTTAAAAAGCATCTTAAAATTTTAAACGGCATGGTTAGTTAAATATATGACTTTAATTAGACTATTATATCTAAGAGTTTATTATTAGCTTATTATTGAGAAAATTAACACGAATGAGATAGGCTGAAATGGGGCATATGGTGATTTGCCGACTTTGGGACCCCAAAAATGCTTCCTTTAATGACAAAAGCTCCAACTTTAATGGCGTTGCTCTTTTCTCTTTCTCTTTACTCCTTTGTTTGTTTTTTCTTTTTTCTTTTTTCTTTTTTTTTTTTTGTTTTTTTTTTCGTCTCTGTTCCCCTCTTTATACTCATAATAATACCATTCCTACTTCTCTTTTATAACATACTATTCTTTCTTATCAGAAAAACAAATATCAATATTCTAACGTCAATGCAAATAGTTAGATTTAATTTCGAGTAATAATGCTAATATACATATTGGGAACGTTTTCTTTTGTTATGTATATTTTTTTAAAAGATAATCATAATGATAATGATAGGTAATTTAGCACACAGCAAAAAAAATAAATAAATAAATTATAAAGGTAAAAGTCTTAAAGAACAGAAAAAAGCAAATAGGAATTAAAATAAAAAAAAATAAAAAGACAAAGAAAGAGCAAATAAAGCATCGTTTGGTCGCACACAAAACACAAAAAACCTCTCTCTCTCTCTCTCTCTCTCTCTCTCTCTCTCTCACTATTCAATTTCAGTCTATTCAGTTCAATCTTTTTCACTTTTGTCTTTCCCTGTCCTTCGATCTGTGATATCCTTTTCTTTCTGTTTCTTCTTTGTTATTTACTACTTTTCTATATATATATATATATATATATATTTGTGATGTATTATCGTCTTTATGTATGATGATATGATAAGAAAGAAAAGCATCGTTTAATAAAAGAGAAAGAGAGAGATTTATTTATTTATTAATACTTAATAGATAGAGAGAGAGAGAGCATCAGTTAGATAGATTCATTTAGGGGGAGAGTGAGAGCAGTGAGACTGTGAGAGAGTGTAAGAGGAGGGAGAGAGAAAGAGAGAGAGAATTTGAGAAAGCGAAATCCAAATGCTGTCAGCTTCTGCTTCTGTTTCTGCTTTATGGAATGTGCATTGCTTTTTCCTTATTTCCTAATATTATTATTATTAACATAACAAAAACGAACATGATTTTTATTTTCTAAAGAGGAAAAAAGAGTCCAGTTTGTTTGGATTGTGGATTCTGAAGAAGAAGAAGAAGAAGAAGAGAAAGAAGATTTTTGAGAGAGAGAGAGAGAGAGTTTGATCGAAAAGTGAAATTGATGGGTTCGGAGCAAAACAGATTCCCTCAGCAGGAACGCGAAAGGGTATGTAAGATCTGATCTTTCTCTCTTCATTTGGATTTTCGATTTCCTTTTCGTTTTTTTTTTTTTTTCCTTTTGTTAGGGTTCTTAATTTTTAGCCTCCAGCTCAGCTCAGTTCAGTTCAGAATCAGATCAGATCTCCTCTTTTCTTTCTCTTTTTCCACAGATCTGGCCCTTCCTTTTTCTAATTTCGTTCCTCATTTTCTTCTTTTTAGTTTTTTTCTGTTTCTTTTTCTCATTTCTTGTTACGGCAAATCTATCACTCAAATTGTTTCACTTTGCATAACATACTCAGATTGTTAATCGTTACTCTTATTTGATTCTGTTATAAATAAGTATAAAAACTAAACTTGGGAATGCAATTGAATTGGAATTGAGCTTCTCCGGAAGATAAGATGAGATGTTTGACTTATCAATGAATGACATACAGAGAAAGAGATGGGGAGGGTGTTGGACTGCACTCTCTTGCTTCGGCACCCAAAAAGGCGGCAAACGAATCGTCCCCGCCACTCGAATTCCCGACGGAAACGGTTCCGCTACCCAGCAGCCCAACGGACCTCAACCCGCCACCCAAGCCACCGCACTCGCTCCCTCCCTTTTAGCCCCTCCTTCTTCCCCTGCATCCTTTACTAATTCTGCCCTACCTTCCACAGCTCAATCGCCCAGTTGTTTCCTATCACTGTCTGCAAACTCTCCGGGAGGTCCTTCATCAACCATGTTCGCTACCGGACCTTATGCCCATGAGACACAGCTGGTCTCTCCTCCTGTGTTCTCAACCTTCACAACCGAACCCTCAACCGCTCCTCTCACTCCCCCGCCGGAGTTGGCTCACTTGACCACTCCCTCTTCACCTGATGTTCCCTTTGCTCATTTTGCAACATATTCACTCTATCCCGGTAGTCCTCCCAGTAGTCTTGTATCTCCGATGTCAAGGGCGTCAAATGACTGCTCATCGTCCTTCTTTCCCGAGCGTGAGTTTCCTCCACAATGGGGCCCCTCGATTTCTCCCCAGAATGAAAAATGTGGAAGGAGTGATTCCGGCAGGCTGTTTGGGCATGATGGCGCCGGTGCTAACTCTGTGGCGGCGTCTCACGATTCAAATTTCTTCTGCCCTGCTACATTTGCGCGGTATTATCTCGATAATCCGCCGTTTCCTCACACTGGTGGGAGGTTGAGTGTTTCTAAAGATTCAGATGCTTACTCTACTGGTGGAAGTGCACACCAGAACAAGCAGAATAGAAGTCCCAAGCAAGATGCGGATGAAATAGAAGCTTATAGAGCATCCTTTGGGTTCAGTGCTGATGAAATCATCACCACTACACAATACGTGGAGATTTCCGATGTAATGGAGGACTCATTTACCATGACACCATTTTCCTCCAATAAATTACCAATGGAAGAAAGTATGGAGCCTGTTTCGGTCAGCGGACTGAAACCTCTGAAAACACACACAAACTCGCATAGTCAGAATGGTTTTAAATTGCCCCTCGAACAGGGTACAAGATCAGATTTCATGGAAGTGCCGGCATTGCCCAATGGATATGAAGGTAAGCTATCATCATTTTAATGCTGATCAAATTTTTTTTTTTTATTACATTTGGCTCTGCAGTTCTAATATCTGGATTCCTTATTTGGTACAAATTAGAACCTGGGTACTGGAAATTAACTAAATATCAGTCAAGGGAGAAGTATGTATGTTCCATGTCTATGGTAGCATAAACTTGACGATGTGAGGACAGGGTAAAAATCTAATTTATAATTTCAAATTCTTGAACACGAGAAATGTGAGAACAGGGTAAAAATTGCAAGTTGTTGGAGATTTAACATGTGTTGTGATCTCTCATCAATTCTATATTGTGTTGCACTTGTTATGCTACTATCATAGGTAATCATCTATGTCCTAAGCAAGATAAAATCTGAATCGTTACTTGCCTCTTTCTTTTGTTGGTGAGAATTTCAGCTAGTTGTGCCATCTTACCAATATTATGCCCTTCTTCTCCTTTATTCATCTAGTTATTCCCAGAGGTTAATTTCCCTTTCCTTTTTGCTTTTGCTTTTGCCTTGGTTCTTTTTCCCTTGTTACTCACTCAGATCACAAAAGGATGCAACATGGTCATATGTCTAGATCGAGTACACCTGGAAATCGTATTTTGTCCGATGAAGATGACGACGTATTTTCAAAGATGGGATCATCATCTAAAATGGGCAGGAAGCATCAGGTGGGCCTGTCGAGCTCCGACGCAGAGATTGATTACAGACGAGGAAGAAGCTTAAGAGAGAAGAAGAAAGATACATGGGCATGAATAGAAATTTGTATTTATTTGTTGTCGTCTCTGTGATGCACTTCTTTTTCGGGCTCAGTTGATCTAACCTATGATCTAACCTCTTCTCTCCCCAGTTGTGTGACATCTCTCTCTCTCTCTCTCAGAATGTATGTGAATGAATATGCACATCATGATTTGTTATGTATTTCGTGAGGAAGCAGTTTAAGGATAACGACTAGTGTATTATTGGAATGTTTGTTGCGCCAAGTTTAGCATTTGTCGCGCATGTATTCTCTCTTGGCACCCACGGAACTGGAACCGGATAGCTTGCAATCAAATTCTGATCGGCCGGCCTTGTTACATGGAGGAGTCCAAATACATTATTAATGTTCTAACGCTTTCCTCTGTTACACTGATTTTAGTTTTAGTTTTTTTTCTTTTTTTCTTTTTTTCAAACACAACCTTTTCTATCTTTGTTATAATGGATGAGGAACCTGGTAAAAGAAATGACATTTACACAGTGCAAAAGAAAAAAGAAAAAAAAGAGCTGATTTATATGTAATAAGGCCAGTATATAAATTGCTACAACATTTTTTTTTTTTTTTGGAAAAATAAATCAAAGAAATACAAATATTATTTTGTGTGTTCCCAATTGAGGGAATGTGTTGGTAATGAAGTATCCATCTCCGAGTGCCCCAGAGCAGGTGATAGTTGATATAAATAGGTGCAAATATCCAATTCAGACTTGAATCCCAACTTTTTGCACTTATAATGAATGGGTTCCTGTTCCAGAACTGAACGGCCTGCTTCTCACGGCAGCTCCATCATCAAAACTCTCTGGGTTTGCATCTTCACCCCAACCACAAAAATTAGTACAAAGCTCTTGACAATTATCGAAAATAGAAAGACCGAGCAGCAACTCCCGTACCTTTCCTGGCACACGTCGTTATGCTTGGAGAAAGGTCATCTGAGGTCATGTCGTAGGCCGTGTCATGGTCGATAAACCACGCCCCATAGGAGCAATTCCCGGGAAGCCTTCATCTGATCCATCTTCTTCAATGGATGCTGCATGTTGCGAGTTTATAATAAATTAACAAACCAAATGACATTTAAGGGTCCATGAAAAATATATATAAAATAAGCCACAACACACTTGAAACCTTCACTATTTCTCGAGTCAAAAGAGCTTAATGTGGTATGACTTCCAAGCAAGAATTCAAAATACGCCCTCACCAGAAATTTCCTCATCATCTTGAGCCCCCGCAATCCCAATGCAAGAATACAAAGAGTCCTCGTCAACTTTCAACTGATCGTATGCAAGGTATGCATCCTCAATACCAGCAGCTTCATATAACAATGTCAGATCTTTAATGCATGATATGTCCTGAACCAAAAAGCAAAGCCAGCGAAACTCAGATTGACGCTCTCTTTAACCACTCTTATCATTTACAATTGCTTCAGATGGGAAGGTTGAGCTTTGAAACATTTTGGCTTTACCTTCCTTGGAACGGAGGAAGCTTGCAGGTGCGCTAACAATCCAAGCCAATAGGCATTTGACTTGATTTCAGCCTCGTGTCTCATCAAAAGGGTTCTCTTTGCCTGCAATTTGCAAAACATTCCATCAAAATAACTCCAGTACACGCAGAGTAATCGTGTTTTGTTAATGCAATGGGAAGTTTTGAAGAAACTAACCCTATCCAACTCCCTCGGAGTAATCTTGTTGCTATGCAAACCTCTGAGAACATTCTTGCATGCGTCAACAGCTTTATGAACCTGTACGTTCATTAAAGCCAAACCTCGTAAATAGATTGACAAATAAACCCATGCAATTTGTAAGCAAGAGGATATCCAATCCTCACCTTGGCTGGAGTTGACGTTACAGATATCACGTACCATCCAAGATTCAGCCTATCAAAGAGATTTAATTCGAATGATACATCATAGGTCAATCCAAGAGAATCCCTTACAGTTGTAAAAAGCCTGCATAAAAGCACCAATCAAATATTTCACATCTCAATAAGCGTAACAAAATATATCTTTTTAACTTAATACAACATCCAAAATGAAACCATCACTAGAACTCAGATGGCTTTGTGCTTTCGTACTCGTTAAACTATACTATTAGACCTCAGGTCCTGGGTGCTATACAGCAGATAAGAGGAAAAATCATTAGTTAGGTAGGTAAAATTTGTCCATACAATTCAATTTAAAAAATAAAAAATAAAAAATCAGAGAAGCTATACATTTATCGATTATCAGTGTCAGATTTAAGATCTTCACCATAATTTTGAGGTTTTTAGCGCAATTGCCCCCCGAACTTTACGTTCTTCAGCAAATTGCCACCTAAATTTTTAATTTTGGCAATTTACCCCCTCACTTGTTAAATACTTGCAATGCAGCCCATTTTGTTAACATCCATTAAATTACTAACAGAAAATGTATTTGCCTCTCATGTGACGAAAGAAAACCCACATCTAACCCAGAAATTTTCAAACCCAACAAAAATTTCCCAATACCCCAAATCTCAATCCCAAAATCTTAGAATAACAACAGATAATAGCAATATTAATGTGATAGCATAACCCAAAAAAAAAAAAGGAGCATGAAAAATTTATCATCCCACAATCTCATACTTCTAAACCGTATTGCTCTTTAAAAATATGCTCATATATGTGGAGGAAACCAAGCCCTCAAAACTAATTGTGAAGCATTGTCTTACTCATGAATATTTGAAGATGAGTAAAAGAATCATATACTGACCCAAGACACGATCCCATTGCACCCACTTTTGAGTTTTGAGAATTAAATGTAGGTGAAGAAATACAACAAGCGCACCAAGGGAGAAGCACAGGAGTCATTGAATGGGGTTGGTCCTTGTGTGCTGACAGCCACCCCGTTTCATGAATTTTGACGACAATGAAGAGGAACATCCCAATGAAGATGAAGGTGGAGGATTTTTATGGAGAAAATTTGAGTTGAGATTTGCGGATTTTTGATTAAATGTGGTTTTTCTGTCCTCATGTGAGAGGTACATGCGTTTTCTGTCAGTGTTTTAACAGATGTTAGCAAAATGTGTTGTATTACAAAAGTTTAACAAGTTGCGGGGGTAAATTGCTAAAATTAAAAGTTTAGGAGGTAATTTGCTAAAGCACATAAAATTTAGGCAGTAATTGTGCTAAAAAAACCCTAATTTTCGCTATTGTCAAGCACAGCAGTACAGTACGAATTGCAACAAGTATGAGGAATAACCTACTACTAGCAAAGATAGAAACACAAGTGGCATAGAAATGCGTGATTGCAAACAATGTGTAAATTTTCAACTTTCACGTGATTGCAATGAGTGTGGGTGTGCAGGAAAAACTACCTAGAATTTATAACCTCAGCCAGAAGCCCCATAGTGATACCAAAGAAAAGTGGATGATGACGAAGCTTTCTCTGATAATCCTTCTCAGTGTTCTCACCTTCAGCAGATTCCCCAGACCTTGATTGTGCATCTGCATATGCTTTGCTACATCTTAAAGTCCTCATATTGGCAAAAGGAATATCAAGTTCTATATAATATGCTGCAAGAACTCACCCTCAGTAATTGAAATGCTTCTAATCGACTCAAACAGGTCTTTTCCGTCAACAGTAAAACCCCAGCGGTTTGGTGCAGGACCTGCAATATAGGCACATGCCCTTTCATCGGTGTCCTTCAAGAATACCTGATGAAAATGAACATTGGTATATTAGAAAGTTAAAAGAAATGTTTTTTGGAGGGGTAAATGGAAACCGTTTCAATTTGCAGATGATACAATAAAATATCGTTCTATAAAAGCCCCATTAGTTAAACAATTCTACAATTAGCTAAGCCTCTCACCTGCTGCGACTGTAAATCAGATGGAGAAGGACGAAAAACAACCGGGGCATATTGACGCTCCCTTTTGGAATTTTTTGTTGCTCTAACCGTGCCGAGGTAATCAAGAATACAGGACTCTATGTCCTCCTCAGAGAAGTCACCAACTATACTTACCTGGAAGAAAGAAAAGAAAAATCTAACATAAAAATATGTTTCATTTAGATGCCCAAATCAAAAGGAGAATTACTCACCTCCATATTATTTCCAACAAACTGATCCATGACCGCATCCTTGACAGTTTGCAAGGTCAAATTTTGCAATGATTTTGGTGTAGGCTCGACAAACCTTTCATCTCCGTCCAACATTGCCAACATGAGTTTGTGAGCGGTGGAGCGCTCCAGGCTCTTGGGAATAGACCGGTAATAGGACAAATATAGTTGTCTTGCTCTATCAAATGCGTCATCCAGCCATACACTACGCTGTATCAGCAAGCATCAATTTGAAGGTAGTACATATCAGCAACATATGGTATAATGCATACCAACACAGTCAAATGCATAACAGAAATCCATCATAACATTAAGAAAATAAGAGATAGATAAAGATCATATTGGGTTTACCTCCAGTACCATATGGAGCAACTGGAAAGCTGCACGCATTCCATTATCTCTTAACGTAAAACGGAACTCCATAGCAATAAATTCCTCAGTGGACTCCAAGGAACAATTGATCAGGTGATTCACACAGAAGAGTTCAACCTAAAAAAACAAACGCGAGTAAGATATAAATGTCATAATAACATGATGCTCAATTATTTACCATTAAAATTTTCACGGCAAAAAAAAAATAAGAAAATAAGAAAATAATCACACACACACAGAATGTTTCTTGGGTAAAATCTTGGAATCAAGGTGAAAACATCACAGTTGATTGATCATCTAATGCTCTGCCATTGAATACTGAAGCAACAAGAACTACTATCCACCAAAAAAAAATAAACGAAGTTTTTCCAAGAAATTTTTAGACAGCCTACAAGAGCCACTAAAATATTTACAAGGAGGTAAGGAGCATCAATACACAACCTGTTCCCTTGAAAAGTTTCCAACACGGCCTCCCTCACTGAGAGTTCGAACACCGACAACAACGGCTCCTCTTGAATCTGGACATTCAACTGCTCGTCCACCACCAACAATAAGTCGCATTACACCTCCACATGCTTCAGTTTTTGATATCTATACATGAAGAAAAAAAAAGTAGAAGAAAAGAAGGTAGAACTAGTGAAATATTCATTTTAGACCACGTACAAACGTGCATACTACCAGCCATCAACATAAGCACATGAGAAACATATTGGGAATTATGACATCCTTTCTTTCAAAGATGAAATGATACCATATATTTAGCATACGAGTTACCAAACTAATCAAGAATACTATACCCTATGATCCAATGAGGAACACCCAAATGAGTTCAGTTCATAAACCAGTAAATAATGAGTGTTTGGAAAATCCCTAGGTGGTTATAGAACTTAGCTATTTGAGCTGTTCTGGACTTTAAAATTTCAAAGAAAACAGAAACGGAATTCACATATGTTAACAAGAAGCTACAGAATAATTGCCTCGTCCAAGAAAGGGTTAAAAAAATCGAATACAGAATAATTTCCGCAAGTCCTAAACCTGAGAAATCTCATGAAAAAAAATAATGACAATAGGGATTAAGTTTCATCAAGTTTTCTATTCTGTTGCCGGGCCTTGGAATTTCAGCTATAGATGAAGGGAATGGGGGACCAGGGGACACCAATAATCCCTTTTTTATCAAGCCAAAAAAAAAAAAAAAAACAAAGAGTTCCATCAAGTTTTCGGCATAAGGAGGTGAATACCTTGTAATTTACAGGAATTCCATTTGAAAGACAACACTGAGTAATCCCTGTTTCCTTGTCATGAAGTTTTGTCACATTGGTTTCTGGACTTAAGGAAACAAAGGATGGCCTGCGCTCCATCCATAATTCCTGTAGTTGTGACGCAGATATCAACTCTGTTGGAACCTCAAGCTGCACAAATAAATAAAAAAACAAATTAAACCAAATAAACGATTTCAACTAAAAATTTTTCACATATAACCAAGAAATCAAAGTTAACAGAAAGGAAAGACAAGACACCTCTGGTTCAGCCGCTATAGGTTCCTTCAATCCTGCTTCTATGGCAGCTGTAATTTCACCAGGGGATATGGTGAACTCGGTTTCACCCTTTCCCTCAATATGCACTTTCATAGGAACACATGCAACGATTGCTGCAGGAAGAGGGGCAGTAGGTTTGCCATAGTCGGAAACAAATTCTAACACATTCGCACCAATTGAATTTACCTGCACCACAAAGTAAGTAAAATAACACGATATATCCGTAAAAAAAGGTGGTGTTAACTGGAAAGGAAAAGTAAATAAAGATAAAACACATATCTAAACGACAAACATAGAAAACACCATGTTCAGTTAACTAGTCTGTACCACCAGCATTCAAAAGGTTATGCTGCCCACTTAATTTCTGGCTACATTATGTTAAAAACCATTGTGATGCTATCATACATTTACAGATGAATAGAAAGATTTAGGCACTTGATGATACTAACAAAAGCTTTTGGCATAGTAAACTCTCCTCAAAGTAAGGAATCAACATGACAAATAGCATAATATGAGCAATGGTCGTCCAGGGAGACATACATATTAACTTAAGCTTCAAGCTACGTACAAATAGAATCCCACGAAAGACTACCCAAAGACATAACAATTAAATTTTCTCAAGAGAAGAAATTACGTCAAAAGGCAAAATCAAATGCTAATGAGGAAGCATTAAGATTTAAGATATAGGCTAGTCTATTTCTGCTGGAGTTAATAGAGTGGAAGAAAAAGGAAAATAATGAAGTGATTATTACCTCTTCAAGTGTAACTGTTCCAGCAATAGCAACCAAACTCTCATGTCCTTGCCTCTGATCCATCACTGTATGGCCCAGTGCGTCACTCTCCATAATAAAATCCAAATTATCAACAGATGAAACATTGTCAATCATAGCTGCTAGATGTTCACTGTCTTTCAAAAGTGCATCCATATAGCGAGTTAATTCACCCTTGGTAACCCCAAACTCTTTCAGCCGACGAACCTGAACCATCCTAGACATCATTAGCCTAGCTACAAAACATTGTTGAAATTGGAATCGACCTAGTAGAACAGAAGAGCAGTAACTACAATATTTATTTATTATTTTCTTCTCCTGCAGTTCAAAAGTTTCAAGAAACATAATACCAAGGCATAAAATACTAATATTTCATCAAAGAAAGAACTTCAGGTGTATATCCGGAAAACAAAAAAAGAATGACAATGGTTACCAACAGATTTATGGAAATAAAAAGTGTGGAGTACTAAAATGAGGAAGCCAAGCCAATGTAGTATGTGCAGGCAACAACGACGAAGGTAAACGCACTGAATTGAACAAAGGAAGATCAATTAAACTTATGTGGGTCTAATAACCGAATGAGGCAGAGAAGTACAAACCTCTTGAACAGCAACTTTTATTGCATTTTGCCAATTCTTGGGTTCAGCATTAACAGTAAGAGTGGTGACAGTGCATCCTTCTCTTCCAGAGTCACTATGGTCCAATTCAATTGATGTAAACGGTGGGTTTGAACTCTGAAATGAAGAAAACAGACAAGCAGCTTCATCAGTTAAAAAAATATGACGTGCATCCAAATCCACAAAACAGGAAAGCAATACCAACAAAGTTGTATAAATGATGATGAATGAAACAAGTAAATACTTCAAAGAATAGAATCTCAAAATGATAATTAACAGGGCATAAACACACCTTGTATCTCGTGTTGATTCGGAAATGCAAAGCAGACAAAAATATTCTCTTCATCAGCACGTTCCGTAAGTCACCATATGTCCGAACCTTGCTCACTGGAATCTGCAAATGGGTTCGCAACAAATATGAAAAGAACAGGGGAAGCCAGGCTCTATTGTGTGCATAACTGAACATTCTTACTTACGCATAGTGCTTTCGGCAGTTACAAGTTTTACTAGCATTTTCAAGGCCAGAACCAGAAGCATAAGAAAAAAAATCTTCAAAAGTAAAAGACTGTTTGGTAGTGATAAACCAATCAGAATTGATCCAAATGAACTATTCATCCACATGCCAATAGCTAGGGGACCAACAGGCTTTATAAATGAACTTGTGAAATAATAGTACAGTTGCGCAAACCCTATTTGCTTTGACTTCTCCATTCCAGAAATGGACAACTTCTTAACCTATATTGGGGTGTTTTGCTCTAAAATCAAACCTTGTGTTAACCGATGGAAACATTATCTGATTATCATTTGAGAAACATACATAATCTTAGTATCATTATTTTTTAAGCAAAGGAAACATTATTTAGAAAGCCTCAAAATCTTAGTACCTTGCAGAACATATTGAAGGAGGAATTTTGTATCAGCTCATGCTGAAATATTTGTGGAGGCTTCTGACCGGTGCTGCTTCCAGGGAGTGACCAATTATGCTTTACAGGAGGACGAACTGCATGCCTTTCCTTTTTCAAGATTTTAGATTGTTCTACAGAACTAGACGACCTTTCATTAGATGAACTTCCAGCCAACCCAACAGAGAGCTTAGGAACAAGGAAACTAGCCATTGCACCAAAAGCGCTAGGCGTTGGCGGAGAGACTGTCTCCGATTCTAGGCCAATTTGTCCAAAGACTGCCTGCAAGGAAACAATTGGTTTCAGTCGGCATATTGATTCCAAAAGTAGACCTAAAACACAGCTATCGGACTGACATTCATGATAAACAGAATTCTTAATAGTAAATATATAACGTACTTCAATCTGGTAAATTGTTTTTGAGATGTTGTCAACATCTCCAACAATGTACAAGGTTGCGTTTCCAGGGAAGTACCAACGCTCGTGGAATTTTCTTATTTTATCAGCATCCCACTTCTTAATCTGCTCTTCTAATCCAATTGGGAATCTTTTGCTTAGCTTGTTCTCCGAATGAAGATGTTGTAATAGCTGCGCTTGAAAGTAATAATTCAGATAGTTACCAGCAATATATATTATTAAAAAAAAAAAAGAGGGGGAAATAAAATGGAAGCTCAGTATACCTGGCAATCAACACGGTAATCTATTGTATTCATCATCTGTAATTCTGAAAGAATAGCACGCCGTTCTTTTTCAACTCGAGAAGCAAGGAATTTTGGGCGGAAAGCTATCTGTTTACAAATTACAAGAACTATGTCATCTCAAACGTACCATCTTCCAGTTAAAATTTTTCTCAAAGCACAACCACATAGAGGCATATCTAAGGAAAAGGTAGTGAATTATAGGCAACGAGACCAGATCACTGCACGCTAATAAATCATTTTTCTACACTGACAGACTTACAGTTAACTACCATAACCAGCAATAACAAACAAGTCATACCTCATTCAATGCATCCAATACATATGGAAGTAGATCTCCATCAGATTCCTGGAACATCGCATACATTTCACCCATGTGTTAAGGGTCAAACCTCAAACAATTATTGATCCATAACATATTTGTTGATTACTGAAAATATGAAATCTATTTCGGATTTGAGTAATACGGTTTCAAACCCAAAAAAGAAATTACTAAGAAAGATTAATGAATAAAGGTGAGGGAAAGAAATGTTAAGAAACCTTTGTACTAGTTGGTGAATGGATGTGAAACACGGTGTGATGAAAATCGGTGTAAGCATTAGACCGCGCCCCTGTCCCTAGAAGTTTCTCACGTTTCTTGCTTCCAAGAAATGCTACATGTTCAATCATATGTGCAATTCCTTGCTCATCATCTTCCTCATCTATTGATCCTACATGAACTTCCATGTGCGCTTCAAACCTAAAAAAGTCCGACAAAATCTTCATTTTAGATAAGAGCACATATGTGCAAAGAAGTTTCTAATAGGAAATCCTTCCATTTTGCCTCTGCCAAAGTCTGGTAAGAAACCCCACCATAAGTAAATACATGAGAATTCAGAAATAGAGGGTGCAAATGTTTTTCGTGAGATAGAAATTCCGTATCAATCATTGTGATATTGTTAGACTAATAAGACTATATATCTGAAAGAAAAAGGAACACTGTATGCGTGGCATGGGTGCATTCTGTGTGGATCAATATTTCTGTGTTTCGAGGAATTGCACCTGTTAGGGGGAACTTTATTGGGTAAAATAAGATATCGCAGCCCATTTTTTAATTGACCTCGATAGAGCTTTGGGTGAGAAGGCAGTTCGGAAGTTAGAAAGCGATCTAACTCCTTTCCGTCCAATGCTCCAGGATACAATGGATCCAAATCCTGTTTGTCAGTAACACCTTCGGGCCAAGCTGTACTTGCTGCGTGTGGCTCATCTGGACCTACAGTCGCACATGGTTTTACCTAAAAAAGAACAAAAAAATGAACAAATAGACAGCATCAAAGTAAGTGTGGAATGCTCATCCTCGGTCAAGCAAAGTGAAGAAAGTGAAATCAGATATATATACATTGCACCCTATAAAAAGAAAACGTAACTCAATCATTTGATAAGACGGACCGAAAATATGACGATGATGAGCATTTGAAATCAAACCACAAAAGGATATCCTTGTTTGAATGGCGATTGTTTTGTCATGCCTGACTATATCATTTCCTAGTAATCTAATCGTATGCAAATAATAAGGGAAAAAATGGCAAAGAAATAGGATTCATCAAACTGGAAAAGGAATATGGTTGGATAAGAATGAACGTTAGAAATATGGAATTCAGCAAAAATAAATAAATAAATAAAAATTTCAAGGAAAATCCGGGTAAAATAGAGAGAAAAGGGGAGTACTTACAAAAGAATTGTTGTATAGTTTGGGGGGTGTGGATAATAGAGAGAAAGAAGAGGAGTTGTTGCGAAAAACTGAGGGTGAGGAGGGAGAGCTAGAAGGGCATCTGCCTCTGCGTTGGGAAATGGAGGTACAAACGCAATTACGGAGTCCGTACTCACGACGCTGGGCCGTACAGGTAGAGTGTACGGTCTTCGGAGGGAAGCCAATTCGGTTCCTTTGTTTCAGGAAACAAAAACATGGTAAACGATTAGGATTGTTATTAAATTGAATTGATAGAAACCCTAGAATAGGATATAAGAAAGAGGAAAGAGGTAGATACATCATACATACCTGGAAGACGGGGAAGGAGAGGAGAGAGAGAGGGAATTGCGACGAAGGACGACAAGAGGAACACGGCCGACGCGAAGGGGAGACCAATTGGCCGGCGGCGTCTGAGAAACGGCGGCGTTTTTGGATCTGCGGGACTTGGAGGGTACCAAATGGGGGAAGCTTACGGTTGCAACGGCTGAGCTTGTCGCCGCCATTCTTCCTTGTTTGTTCCTTTCTTTATTTCTTTCTGCGAAAGTGAATTCCTTATTCTTCAAATAAATAATTAAAGTTTTGATGTGTACGGCCTCCTCCTCCTCCTCCTCCTCCCTCTTCCTCGTGCTTCGTTTTCTTTTTCTTTTTTTTTTCCTTTTTTTTTCTTTTCTGCTATTTAACTATAAGAAACAATTTACTTTCTTTCTTAAAATATCTAATCGAATAACACAAACAAAAACAAAAAATCAAAGAGGGGAGTGCATTGTGTATGTGAATTGTGAATAATAATTGGCCGCATGTCTCATCTCATCTCTTCAAACTCACATTCCACGTGTTTCCATTGCATTGCTGTTGACGGTTAGATTTCGTCAACAATAAACCCGCCGGATTATCTTGAAGTTATCCTTAGGATTACTGGCTTGTGGGGTTAATAAAAGTGTGGATTCTAGTTTGATTTAAGTATTTTTGTGTTTTAGCCAACTGTATGTAAATGAGCAGGAAGAATTTTATAGTGGTTCACTCTATAATATTAGAGCTACATCCACTGTATATATTATATTTCTTTGGTAGAAATCGTAGTTTACAATGAATCATATCTCCCTCTCTCTCTCGTTCTTTTTTCTTTCAGAATTTTTTCTAGGCCCCTTCCCTATTGGGGTCCTTCTTCTTTTATACTCGGACTGCCTTCGCTGGGTGGGTTTCCTTCGTAGGTAGGAACACTCAAGTGCTCTAGGCCCAGACATAGCCCACTAATCAGTACTGTTCACTCAACCAATTAGTCTTCTATTACGGCTCTGTGAGTCTCCGTAATGCTTTTCTGTCCCCTTGGGGGGGGGGGGGCGGTTTGTAAACTTGCAATAAATGCTGTCAGACCTCTCTTATCTTTGCATGTAACCCATTATGTCGAAAAAGGACGTTCCCCTCGTCGTCAGTGGTTGTTTAACCTTTCTCGCCCCTTCTAGTGATCTCTTCTGCTGTCGAGGGATTTTGTCGTGTCGACCCAGCCGGAATCAACCGTCGACGTCTCATGGGGTCGTCGCCCTAATCATGGACTTCATCTTCGGGCTCTATAGCTGATCGTGAGGGAAACGAAGCGCCGAAGGTTGGGTGCTCGGCGGAAAGCAAGTATAGCCACGTGTCGTGGCGCCGTTGGTCCAGGTGTCCATCACATTTTCCCACACAACAGCCACCCCCCAGGTCGAGGGCTCCTTTTTTTTTTTAAGCGGCCTCGAGCTCTAGGTTCGGTCTGTCCTTTCAGTGCTTCGGGTGTGGGAAATCGATCCCGAACCTCCGTCCGCAATGATGGCCTGGGTACCTTGGGTGTATAACCGTCGCGTCGATTGATATGGCATAATGATGAGTATCCGTGTTTCAAGAAAACGAATATAGACTGTCGGATCCGCGTCTTTTCAATTTTCCGCCCTTTCCCTTACCGTCAGATACGGAGAGTGATCCCTGGCCGTTGGTCTTTTCGGGGTCTTCATCCGACGGTTGGGGGGGTCTTTTTTTCCGACTCTTTAAATACTCTCCATGGACCCGAGGATCATTTTTTCCTTCTTCGAAACTTCAAAAAACTTCTTGCCGCTACTTTGCCGGGACATCCGTACTTTTGCCGGAACCCTGCTTTGCTGAACTTCCGTCTTCGTCCTTCCCGTTCTCCGAGGTGTACTACGAAGCCGTCCCGAGTTTACTTCTTCACCGGTAAGTTCCTGGATCCTTTCTCTCTTTGCGTACTCGCGGGGTTTCCCCCGTTGTGTACCAGGAATGTGTAAACATATATGCAAAAAATGAGAATAAACATTTAGTTAAAGAGACTTTACTTTGTTGTATTCTGTCGTACTGGATGACCTGGCTTTTATATACGTGCATTTCTTGTCTGTTTGTCTTTGGTTTCTGGGTTCTGGGGACCCCGCGGTTCCTATGAACACTCGTCGTTCCCATTCTTGTATGAATGGTCGACGCTAACCAGTCGTCGCTTAGAGTAGTCGCCATTTATTCCTCTCGACGTTAGGGTTTTAACTTAGCTTTTTCTCCTTGTTATTACCAGAACAATGGCCCAAAGTTCACCCAGTCGAGAGGATTCTCTTTCTGTCGTCCGTTCTGACCCTCCTTCGGTGCTAGAGATCTCATGGACCTCTTCGTCTTCCGGTGTCAGCTCTGTGCTTAGGGATATCGAGGATGTCGAGGGAAGTTTTGAGCCGGGCGACGATTTCGGCAGTGAATTCGGTAGCGTCGACCGAATGATAGACGAAGTGGTCGAGCGGATCCCTTTTACGGGGGGGAGCGTAAGCAGAGTAACCGCTGCGACGGTGGATGCCCCCCTGGCTTCCACGAGCGGAGACCTAGATAGGCCCTCCTTTACAGCCGACGATGTGGCGTCGAAGGTCCGAAATAAGGATATCATTCGGGCTGTGAAGGAGGGATGTATTGACGGGAGGTGGTTCGAGTACCTCCTCCCAGATAAGCATTTTAGGACCAGTATGCTGCCGACCGAATACCTTCCGGTCTACACAAGAGCGGTAACTGCAGGGATGACTCTCCCAATTCATCCCTTCGTAAAAGATTATTGCCACTTTTACAGCATCTCTCCTGCCCAATTGGCGCCGAACTTCTGGTACTGCTTTACGGGAGCCTGGATTCTATGGAACCAGAAGTTTGACATGGAACTCCCACTGGACGAGTTCCGATTCATGTACAAGTTATGCCACGTCGCCAAGTGCGACGGGTGGTACTTTCTGAGTGGCCATGGGAGGGCTCAGCCTAGGTTTAGAAAGCTTATTCTGGGCATCCCCTCATCGTCACATGGGTAGAAGCCCATGTTTTTCATGATTCGTGGGCCTTTTAACTTCCATCCCAACGACCGCCAGCCCCGCCGAAGGCTGGGACAGGCGGCGTTTGGAAATATGAGTAAGCCCCTCAATTCTCTCTTTATCTGACCTGATCCCCCTTTTCACATGTTGATGAGCAGTCCTCTGTGTTGTAGTTAACCAGGATCGGCCAAAGTTTTCTAGAAACAGCTTGGCGAGGATCGAGGAAGCTTTTCCTACTCGTCGGAGGTTCGCCACATCGACACGCTCTTGACCAAGGAAAACCTTCGTACTGCGGGCCTAATTCTCGACCTTCCAAACCCTTCGGATCTCGACGCCGTTCGTTCGTATTTCCATTTAAGCGACGAGGGTAATTACTTCTCTCGACGCCTTGTTGAATTAAGAATCGTGTTTTCCTAATGCTGCCGGTACCCTCTTTTTCTTGCTAGAGATGGCATCTTTGAGAATCCAGCTTCCTGGGGGCCAACGGCCGGCGCCAAGTCAACAACAGGCGTCGAGCCAACAGCCGCCGTCCGTCCCCCGGCCCCCGT